ACCCCGTGTCCACCTCCCCGTAGGCACCCCGTCCGCCCCGCCCGTGCTTCCCCCGTGACCGTGTGCGGTGCACATCTTTCATTGCATTAGGCGTGGTCATAACGCAGTGACCAAGTGTTGGGGCAGCGTTTTTGTAACGCTGCGGAGCTGTGAGCACATCTTTGATGAGCCCTCCCTACTCCCTATTGTGAATGGTTATCGAGGACTCCACACCCTCTCTCCACACATCCCCCTCACCCCGGTCCCCTTCATTTTTTTAAAGTCACACGTTGCCTTTCTTTAAAGCGGGCGTGAAGAGACCCCTGCAGGCCGAGATCGAGGCCGTCCTGCGGGAGAGGATCATGGTCCTGGATGGCGGGATGGGGACCATGATCCAGCGGCACAAGCTGAGCGAAGCGGACTTCCGAGGCCAGGAATTTAAGGACCACGCCCTGCCGCTGAAAGGCAACAACGACATCCTGAGTATAACTCAGCCCGACGTCATTTATCAAATCCATAAGGTAACGGGTCGCCAGGCGCGGGTCCTGGCAGCCTGCCATGCCTCCCACCCGTGTCATGCACTCAGGGCAGAACACTGGCCTGGGTGCCCTGGAGGAGGGTACACACACTTGACACAGCTCTCAGAACAGTGTGTGAACCTGTCTGAGGTCAAGCTCTGTGTTTATTTATTTTCTTAAAATATCTTTTTATTGATTTCAGAGAGGAAGGGAGAGGGAGAGAGAGATAGAAACATCAATGATGAGAGAGAATCATGGATTGGCTGCCTCCTGCACGCCCCCTACTGGGGATGGAGCTTGCAACCAGGGCATGTGCCCTTGACTGGAATTGAACCCGGGACCCTTCAGTCCCCAGGCCGATGCTCTCCACTGAACCACACAGGCTGCTTTTACTCCACGTTCGTGCTTGTTTCGGTCCTAAGTGTCAGTCTTTTCTCTCCCCTTTTTCTTTTCCATGTTACCTGAGTGATTTCAACACGTTTCCTAAATGTGCCGACACAGCCTGCCGCGTTGTTCACACCAGAAGGCTGA